CGGGTCTAGAAGAGAACCGGCGATTTACTATAGTAAAAACGTCTTTTTCTACAATAAAAAATGTCGATTAACCGATCCATACTGGTTTTTGGCTGGTTCACTATTTTTGCATATTCATTCGCTGTGTTTTCCACGCAATAAAATGGTGATCCAGACTGCCGATTCACCAATCCATAATGATTTTTGCTCTACCCGATCCAAGTCACAGATCCGTTATTTCAATCCTGCTTTGAAGTGTATGACCCCAAGCAGCACAAGTGGCACGGAGTCTAAAAATGTTGCATTTGAAAAGAATCATTTGTTTTGGCCAGGGTCGTGGCCACACATGGAGGTTAACACCTTTTTTCGAAGGGTGCACCTCAATTTTATGAAAAATGCATCTCGGCGCAAGAAAATGGCCTTAGATCAGAGGATAAAAGAAAACAAAAATAGATTTCACGCCATAGAAATTGCAATATATTTTATCAATTGTCTGTTTCAAATGTTCACAATTCCCCCTGATACGCATCATTTTTGAAAAACATTAGATTTGTAGGGCATCCGGTGCTAGAACACTACTTCTGGGTGAGGTTTTGAGGTGTAACATTATACTAACAAATTTCATAAAACAAGGCCCTACAAATCACACCCTTAACAAATATTTTTGACCTATTTAAGACTATGGAGAGATAAAGGAGCTCTGAAACACAAACAATATAAAAAGAGAGAGTGATGTTGAGAGAGACTGAGAGTGAGAATATGTTGGGACAATTATTGAGTTAACGTTATCACAACTAGACTACACGTCTAATCCAACCGGCTAGGTCACCAACCAATGCCTTAGCCAAGCTAATCCAAAGTTAAAAAAAAAAAGGATCTGAAAAAAAACCCAGTCAAAAATAAAATTTGACTATTTTTCTCTAGTAATATCAATTTTGATTGGTTCTACTAACTAAACTGGGTCGGGGAAACTTTCGCTTAATATATTTTTTATTCTAAGTTATTTTAGAAACATATTAAAGTTGTTAGACCGATTTTGAACGGACCAAACTCTAGATGGTTAAGTGACCAGTCTAATTCTGATGACACTCAATGGATCTCTTAGAAAAATAATTCATACATGGTACCAAAATGGTAGTTTCACTATGCATTCTCAAATGGTAATTCTCGAATGGTAATTCATACACGGTACCAAAATGGTAGTTTCCAACCATTTATCAATTTTCCAAAAAGAGACAAACAAACAAGATAAAAAATGATTAGTTGTACATCATCATCATGGCCTTTTTTCAATTAATTGGGATCGGCCATACAAATTCTAGTCCATCATTCTACTGTTATTTAGTATACACACTGTCTAAATGTATATTGTGTTTGTGTTTGTGTCTGCTTTTGGGAGAGGAAATGGCAGCAAGAATAATAATACCACAAAGTAGAGCAAGAAGGAGACCCAAGGAATTGACAAGGAGAGCTTCAATGGAGCGTTTGTTGGTATTAATGTGATTATTTTGGAGGAAAGTAAGCTTCTCCAATAAGCCTGTTTCAGCAGTGACCACGGCCAAGGCATAGGTGTAGAGGCCCAGGAATATGTGCCATGGCAGCACTACTGCGCGTACCAAACGCCCTTCAACCCCCCTGTGCCAGAAGTTCAAGAACCCAACCACCCACTGCACAGAAACAAAGGACTCCCCTTGTATCAAGCCAAAACCTAGAAAGATAATAACTGGAAATTCCTAAGAATCAAATATATTGCTAACATTTATGAATCCCCACATAACATATTACTGGTCAGGTCTGATTGGACCCAGAGCCGACCTTTGGGTCCGAAATTTGGACCCATAACTGGACTCGAGTTATTTCGGACCCATAACCAGACTCGAGTTCGGGCCTACCCGTTGGGTCTTGAGTCTAATCGGGTCCATGGCCACCCCTAAGATATAGAGAGAGATTATGGATTAGTGATTATTTTATACCTGACACAGTTTCTATGAGTGCCCCGGCTTACATCAAGAACTACAACCCTTTAATAATCCATTTTTTAAATGGATTTTGCCATTTTTGCCCTAATTTTTAAGGAACGTAAAGTTTCTAAAGTGGAGCTCATAAATATGTAAAAGTAAAACAATTTTTAAAAAACTAAAAATGATAATTGCTTTAAGGAAATATTTAGACCATTATTTTTTTTTTGTAGGGGCCACCATTTACATCCGTCTTTAGATTTAGGATGGAAGGTTTAAGCCACACGGGACGAAAATGTAGGAATGCATCCACCTACAAATATAACACTTTTATTATTTCATACAAATACTCTATTTGAAATAAATATCATTCTATTACAACAACAACAAATAAATATGGAAAAAGTTTATATAGAGCCAAGGCTCTAAACAATCAAATTCTAGCCCACCTCAAATTGATCATCTAGACATCAAGATGGATGGACATGAGAAAAAAATGGATTTCAAGTTTTGCAAATAGTGTATCTTGTAACGCATTTTTGGACCGTCAATTTTCAAGTTTTCATATATCTACTCGATCTATACTATTTTTAAAACATTAAATTTTATAATTAAAGATGAAAATATGTTTTAAAGCTATCATAAAGATTTCCAGTATTGAAACCACATTTCTCGACACTATTTGAAGGTACGCTTTCCTTTGATTGTTTAGAGACTCAGCTCTATACCAACCGCACCCAATTTATCAAAATACCCGTGAGAGATGTATTATTTAACAGTTTAAAGCATTTCTAATTATTTCAAGTTAAGGTATTTTGAAATTAAATTTCATAATATATATATATATAATATCTAATTGTTCATCTCTCATAGTTATTTTGATTTCTAACTATTTCAAGTTTGGGTATTTTGAAATTAATAATATATATAAAATATCAAAATTTTCATCTCTCATAATTATTTTGATAAATTGCCCTTTAAACTGCATTGTAAAAGTGGTTTATGAAATACAATAGAGAAATAAACCCAGATGATCCATTTGATGGAGGATGAGATCTAACTTAGTACAGCCAAAATAGTTTTATTTTTAATTGCTGATTGATGCATTAAAAATACTTGACAAAATTTTAACTTTCGAAAAAGATATTTGTTAAAGTTTCATATGAAATAAATTGTGTGACAAAGCTGGAAAGAAAAATAAATAAATTGAGAAGGCTTCCTCAACTTGCATTGAAACCCGTTAAATAGGTGCAACTACCAATGGATCTTAGACCAATGAGAATGCGGCTCCTTGATATTTGGTCCCATAAATCGAAGCTCTCATAGTTGCCCATGATTTCCACATAAGGGGTTTGCAGATTTATTTATTTATTTTTAGCAATTAAATGGTGGGAATCAAAGTTGAAATATAGTTATAGCTGGCGATCATTCAAGCCCAAACCCGATTTCTTAGTTATATATCGGAAAAATATATAAAAAGATCGTTCATTATGATACAAGGAGGTCAGACCACTATTGTTAGATAGATTTCAAATCATATGGTTGTGAGTTTATTGACTAGATTCAAAATTCAACAAAAAAATTTTCAAACTTTGTGTAACACCACCAAACCATCCAATTTGATGGTTAATAACTTGTAATAATTATGACATCCTTGTAAATAGTCTCATAATATACAATTCCCTATATATCAAAGTACGTCTGTATTGAAAATTGAGTACAACAAAATGACAATACATATAAAGAAATCAAGAGGATCCTATAACACTGTTTTAGGAGAATTCCTTAAAATGTACCCAACATATTAAGTGTATAATATTTTATTCATTTTCAACTATTGTTGCTCGTGATCACGGGTTTTTAATGCATTTTAAAAATTTATTAAAAGCTATGAGTAATCTCTTAGATGCATTTTGATAAATTTCTGGTTAATCAACAATTGCCCACTGCACAATTACTCTTAAGAAAAAAGTGCTGTTGCCTTCTAAGCACGAGGGTAAGAAAAATCCAAAAGCCGCACAACTAAGGCTATCTATGACTTAATTTCTTTTCTTTTATCAAAGGTAAACAGTAATTAAACTTTTTCTTAAAAGATAGTTACTGTTTAGCTCTTTTCCTTTAAGATATGCCACGACACAATGGGTACCACTAGAATACTGTGTACGTTTATTATATGGGTGCGGTTTATATAGAGCCGATGCTCAAAACATTCAAATTCGAGCCCACCCTTAAATAGTATCGAGAAATATGGTTTCAATATTGAAAATCTTTGTGATAGCTCTAAAATAAATTTTAATCTTTAATTATAAAATTTAAAGTTTAAAAAATAGTGTGGATCGAGTAAAATGTATGAAAACTTGAAAATCTTGACAATTGACGGTCGAAAAATACGTTACAAGATGCACTATTGCCAAAACTCGAAATCCATGTTTTCTCATGTCCATGCATCTTGATGTCGAGATGATGAATTTGAAGATATTTGAGCATCAAAACCTCTTCTAGTTAATTTTTGGAGGTGGGCTCTAATTTGATCGTTAAGAGCCTCGGTTCTATATAAACTTTTTCTTTATTTTATATAGGTATACTATTTAAGGATAGATATTGATTAGCTCGTTTCTTTATGCTAAGTCGAGAGAACAAGTTTAGAAGGGAAAATCGGTGATGGTCTTTTACCGATGTTTAGAGAGAGACATATCTCTTGTGACTCAAAACTGTAATCTTCAATGTGATAATGGATTTCTAGTTGCCAAAGGCATGGATATAGCCCTACGGGGTGAACCACGTAAATTGTATGTTGTTCTGAAGTGTTTTTTTATGTTTGCTTTATTTTTTTTGGACTCAATTTATAATTGTATTCATCTACTTCGCATTTAGTCAATCATGTACACGATCTTGGATGGGATCCCAGTATTTGAGATACCCAGTTCCGCAAGCTAGGGGTTATTGAAAACCCTACACTAGGTTTATATAGAGAAAAAGATGAATCTTGAAGTTTGATGGATACATAGTTTGAGAAGGTGAAATATAGAGGGTTTCCACAATGTAGGCAAGCGAAAAAACATCAAGAAATTTATTTAATGACGGTTGTCAAGGTAATTATGGTAATTTTGCTCCATAAGAGAGTGAAAGAATACATAATACTGATCATCTTGAGGGTCATCCTTTTGGGGGTTATAGGAATAGATCTTCAAAGATGGAGATTGGTCTCCAAGAGAGAGAGACATGCCTCCAAGAGAGATGTGGTATTCCTATGAGTTTTAGATTGGTAAGGTTTCCACTTCTAAAGAAAAAAATCTCTCGATTGCTCTCGAGGTTATCTTTCCGATAACGTATTGCATTAGAAAAGAAGGTATTGATCGACGATGTTGCTCGGTCGAAAGAGCGACTTTAGAAAGGAAGATCAACAATGGTCTTTTACCGATGTTTAGAGAGATATATTTCATGTAACCCAAAACTATAATATTCATTGTGATAGTGAATTTATAGTTGTCGAGGTCATGGATGTAGCTCTATAGGCGGGACCACGAAATCATGTATTGTTGTGGTGTGTTTTTTTATATTTGTTTTATTTCTTACATTCGAATTATAGTTGTATTCATCTATTTCACATTTAGTCAATCATGTATACGATCTTGAGTGGAATCCCGATATTTGGGACCATTTCCTCAAGCTAGGGGTTCTAAAAACCCTACACCTTTCGAGTCATTTTGAAAATATTGCCTTCTATTAACCCAAGATTCTTGAAGATTTTCATTTTCAACAAAACTTTGTAACTGCTATGCACCATACTTGAAATTGTTAAAGCAAGATGCACTCCTACGTTCCTTCGTAATAATTAAAACCAGATTTTTTACTAATCGGTGCACGCACCACACGTGCACCGACAAACCCAAAGTTTTGCGAGCCGTGGGTCCGTATCTCTCTATCAAAATTAAAGTAAAATCCGATACGTGGGTCAGACCAATTCAAGTCGAACTAATCCGACTCGCCCAACCCTGTAAAATTGAAACAACGAAAAACAAAAATTTTGTAAACAAATCTAAAAATGTTTAAACAAGGCATATAAATTTCAAAATTTTGCATAATTCATGGGTATAACAGGGCGTACCGATTTAGGGTGAAAATCGGACCAGGTGCGTACCGGTTCACTTTCGACTCAGGCGGTTTCGAGCAGTAAATGCAATATTAAGCAAGTTCAACTCGGAACAGGATACTCGTCGGTTTCGATTTTAGCTAGTTTGGGTGATCTGGCAGGATATTTAAAAAAAATTATATAAAATATCAAAAAATAATGAATTTGTTTATAATTCATTTTTAAACATTTTTTTATCATTTTGGTAAAAATTGAAAAGTGTTTTTGTCATGAATATTAATTTTAAAATTTTTCCTATTTTTTTAAATTTCAAAAATACCTTTGGGCATAAATAGATTTTTTTAAATACAATTTTTTCTCTAATTTTTTTGCTTTGTTTAATCATGCTTTAAATATATGTTCCATATTTTTAAAAAATTTTATTATTTTTCACAATTTTTTGATCAGTTGGTTTACCAGTTACTCAAAATCAGTGTTCGCAAAATCGAACCGGAATGGTTAACCGAACATGGACCTGGCAGCGATTTAGCCAGCCTAACCGGTAAACCGGCCGATTCAATCATTCTAACCGGGTAAGTCCCAAGCTGTAACAATCCTAGAATTTCAAAAAAAAAAAAAAAAGGAGAAAATATGCTTTTAAATAGGTGATGTTCTGTTTGAATATGATGGTCCTTGGGGACCATCACTATTTTCAAAAGGTTTTGCCTTTGCCTTTGCCTTTACTTTTTCTTTTGCCTGCTTTTACCTCCTACTGCTTGCAGCTGGCCACGTCCTTTAGCGGACGTGGTTTTCGTATGTTAAAAGCAGACGCTGAACACGACACCTCAGGTATGAGGTAGAGCGTAATAAAATATTATAATAATACGTTCTAAGAATTTAAATAGGGGAAGTGAGCACTCCTACCTTAGAAAATTTTGAGATCTCTCTCTTGAACCGAATTTTTTATCGAATGCTCCCTCTCAAATAATTCTGGGTAAGTGACATCGTCTTTCCAAAAAATAGTCTATTTTTAATAAATAGTGATATTTCCGTCTAGGATATTTATTTTATCAGTTTTGTGTGTAAGTGACCTCATTGTCTCGAAAAATAATCCATTCTTTTTAAAAATAAAATGAAATAACTATTTCTGCTTATTATTATGAATTTTAGGCGCGATAAATTTTATGCGCACGTGACCTCATTATCTTGAAAAATAATCTTTTTAGTAAAATTGTGATATTTTATCTATGTTAGAAATTTTGAATGCTGTAAATTAGAAAAATAAATTTATTTTTTTTTCTTGTCTATTGTTAGAAATAAATGTGATATTTTTGCTTTTAGTAAAATTACGATATTTCTTTCTACTGTTTTGAATATTTAGACAATGTAAAATTCATGTGCAAATGACTGCCTTATTATTTAAAAATTGACATTTTTGCAATTGATTATAGTATTGTTGTGAAATGTTTATTTGTGGATTGATATCCCATAAATTGTGGCAATTCCGTATTCTTGAATTTCTATAAGAGTTTTTCTATACATATTAAATTCGCAATTATGCTAGAATGCCTTTACAAACTGCTACCTTTCTAAATTTGAACCCAAAATATTTGATTGGTTATTTTTGAAATGTTATAGAGAGTGACTGTTATTAATGGTTTAAGTGAAATTCATATTAATGATTTCAGTGATATGTTGAGTACATGATATTGTTGCTTTCGAATATTTAAAGAGATTTAGAAATAATTTAAGTATGCAAGTGGACTCATCCGGTTCGCCGGTGAGGTATAAGTGGACCTATCTGAGACGCCGGTAGGGATTAAATGGACTCATCCGGTACGCCGGTGAGGTATAAGTGGACCTGCAGGGATTAAGTAGACCTATCTGAGACGCCGATAGGGATTAAGTGGACCCATCAAGACGCTAATGGGGTATATAGGTGACCTACTTGCGACGTCAGTAGGGTATTTTGTGAAATCCTTTGAATTATGTACTGCCGTTAAAAGTGTTATAAGCATTTCAATTACTCGGATTATACTTAATTATGCATTTATTGAAAGTGAAACTGTTGATGCATTTCTGTTAATAGATCTCAGTTTGGAAAATATTGATATCTTTCAATCATGATTATTTTTAGGATTATGATGATCACTTACTGAGTAGCCAAACTCATCAAACTATGGTAAACATTTTTTCAGGATAACTACGGATCAACCTTGAAAGATATTGTTGTTGTGTTAGCTTTCTTTATTTACTATGTAAGACCTCGCCACTGTAAATTTGTCCTATCAATAGATGTATATATGTTTTGTCCGTCACATCTCAGGAATAACAGTACTGTAAATTCTTGGGGCGTGACACAGGCAGTCAAAAAAGTATTGAAAAAAATAAAAATTATAAAAAAAAATCTACTAAAATAAGAAAAACATATAAAGAATGATTCAAACAAAACAGATTGAAATGAAGTTGAAAGTTAATGAAAAAATTGATTTTAACCCATTTTATATTTTCCAAAAGCTATTTTTATAATTTTCTAAAAAATATGAGAAAGTATAAAAAGTGAGTATTAATGACCAAAACAATTTATAATCTTTACCATAATGTAAAATATATTTAAAAATACACTACAAATCAAAGTCTTTATGTTTGAGAATTTATATATATTTTATTTATTTATTTTTTTAAAAAATAACGGTTGATCACCATAACTGCCCAAAATCGGAACTGGCCAGTGCCAGTTCTGATCTAACCGAACAGTTAACGTTAGATCGGGCGATTTTGCGAACAATGCTCAAAACCACCATTTTGCCCGATTTGGAAGCGCATTCGATTTTCGAACACGTATTTAGAGTCAGCAAACTTTCATTGGCCAGTTTGCACTGGAGCATAGTAGTGAACTAGAAATAGTAACAGTCATGGGAGTACCTGAGCTGCAAAGAGGAAGAGGCAGATGAAGCCCATCCAAGAGTGCAGACTGTACAAGTTCCCCACCCACCCATTGAACCCTTGGAATTTAGTCCACACCCCAAATACTCCAAGGCCGAGTACCACTCCTTGGAGTGAAAGGTGCACCGTTTTCTTCGAGCTCATGCTCCACTCCCCCGATGCCTTGTGCACCAAAATGGCTACAAGTTTATAAAATTTACAAAGAGCAAAAAATTAATCTCTCTATCCAATTAAACCCTATAAAAATCCAGAAACAGTTCAACAAAAATCCCCCATTGAAATGGGAAAATTCCATTTTTTAATGGTTTTTTACCTTCTCCGCTGAGGACTATGAAACCGATCACCATTAACAGTGGATGAAGGACCTGCAATTTCAATGCGAAGAACCTATTTGTAAAGGACCCAAATGCAAAACCAAATCATAGAGTAAAAAGAATAAAAATTGGAGGAAAAAGAACAAAAAACGCAAAACAGAGTTAAAAGGGTGGAAATGCAAAGTGGGGAGAGCAGTAACAGCATAGATGTGAGATTCTTCGGCTGGTGAAAGAAAGCTCTCCCGAAACCCTAGCGCCCATGAAAGCACCAGCATTGCAACCAGGAGGCCTGAAACTCTAGCCCAGAGAAGCAGTGAAAGGGATGGCCATGATCGAGCAATCGCCATGGATGATGCAGTTCAGAGTGGGCACTGTTCATCTCTTCCTTTCTCCTTCATCCTTTCTACTCCAAAAAAAATACACTAGGGTTTTTGTCTGTGTGTGTCATCTGTTTGGTACCCATTAAATAATGGAGAGGGCAAGCTTTTGTCTGTTAATTATTACTCTGCAAAGCTCCACTGCTCCTTTTTGTGCAAAATGGAAACCACTTCCCTGGAGTGGTGCATCATCAAAGGCAATGGACGGTCAGGATTTAAGAGCCTTTGCCTTTATTTATGTTAAATTTTCTTACTGAAAATTATTGGACTCCAAATTTGGTGTCGACTAGAGAATAATGGCTTCTGGCCCCAGTAGAGAAATCTAAGGGGAAAAGGGTCTAGGACGTACAGGCCGTTGGATGCTTCTAATGGAGAATCTGCACCGTACATGTCGCTTAAACCTTTTATTCATAAACATTCAATCATCTTGAAAACTAACTATGGCGAGGACCTTTATTGCACAATCCCATTATCTAAAGGAAAAAGCTCATATAAGATAAGGGTGAGGCCATAAACAATCAAATAATCTCAACCTCAAGATGTATAGACATGAAAAAAATAGATTTTAAATATTGGAAATAGTGTATCTTGTATAGTATTATCTAAATCGACAATTTTTTATTAGAATTTGGCGCACCTCAAATTAATTAAAAAAGTTCTTTCGATGTTATAAACCCTCAATTTAAATAATCCCGATCTCAAGATGTATAGACATGAGAAAAGTAGATTTTAAATATAGGAAATAGTTTATCTTGTAATGTATTATCTAAATCGATAATTTTCAAGATTTTTAAGTGTTCACGAATCTGCTTGATGTACATTATTTTTAAAATTTAAATTTTGTAATTATAGATGAAAATAAATTTGCAGATCGTCATAAAGATTTTTGATACTGAAACAACATATTTCGGTACTATTTCAAAGAGCGTCCTATTTGGATTGTTAAGGCTTTGGCCTTATACAAACCACACCCTTATCTAAAAGGTGCAGTTAGGATACAGAAGCATATGTAGCGGTAGAGGTAAGGTGAACCCTCAAATTTTATCATGGTATATAATTTTGATGTAAAATGTTCTTAGGATCCTCTCAAAATCTATTTCTATATCTAATTATAAAATTTTAAATTTCAAAAATAGTTAAAATCAAGTAGATATACTATAAACATATGAAAATCTTGAAAATGGATGGTGTAGATAATATGTTGTAAAATGCACTATTTTTTAGACTTAAAATCTTACAAAAATATCTTCTTATCCCCTATTTTTAATTTTAAACAAAAGGTTTCTATCTTTTATATCTTACAACCCCCTGACCCCTTTGACCATAAAATTTTGACCCAAACAAACATTAAAATGATACCCTACTCAAACTCCACCACTCTCTCTCTAAAACTCCATCTCTCTCTCTTTTCGCTTCTCGATGAGTTTACCAGCCAAGGGGTTTAGCTTGAGCTCGAACACGAGTACACCTTCTTATGTGTGAGAGAGATGGAGTTTTAGAAAGAGAGCTGGAGTTTGGGTTTTAGAGAGAGATGGAGTTTGAGTTTTAAAGTGAGAGACGATGTGAGAGAGAGATGGAATTTGAGTTTTTGAGAGAGAGAGTTTTGAAAGAGAGAGACAATGATGTGATAGATAGATGGAATTTGAGAGTGAGAGAGAGATATATATATAGTCATTTCATAAGTTGTTGAGGTCAATAATATATAATCAAAAAGGTTTAGGGGGTTGGTAGATCGAAAAGATGGAGTCATTTTGCTTACAAATAATATTTTCAATTCTTGGGTATGATGAGATATAGAAATTAAAAATAAGAGATAATAGGATTTTTTTTCTAAAATCTTTTTATTTTTCATGGTATGTCGAGATGATCAATCAAAAGGTTTTTCAATATTAAAACTATCCTTTCTAATGGATTTTTTAGGTGCATCTGGAACTGTAAAAGTAAGGTTGCATCCTTATATAAACTTTTTTCCTTATCTAAATGGATAGTTTTCTCCGACGACAGTCTAGAATCTTTCGTCAATGGTAACGCGAGAGGGTAATGTACATCTACTTCTAATGGTAAAGCTCTAGCTAAGAGTATTTTTTTGAAACCTCAAACTTTTGCAAATGCAAGTTCATCGATTTAGAGTAGCCTACGAAGAAGAAAAAATGATACCCAATCTATACTTGCTTGAAAAAATATCTTAAACTTATAAAGAGATCATTCAATTCTTTGATGGTCAGATTTACGTTATTATTAATCTATATTCTTCCTCATTGAAAATACTCATCTGGTGATTCAAGTCCAATATAAAAAAAAAAAAAATTGCAAAACTTTTGCCCGATGGAGCAAGTCTGTGTGATCCCGCAAGAGCATGGTATGCACAATTCATTCGACTATCGTTGCAATGCAAATAGGGCTGAGAATTTACCTAGTTTGGATCTGAAACCCAAAATTCAGACGCTATCTGGATGCAGATATGGATCCGATGAGTCAGATCCGAATCCAAAATTTAGATCTAAATAATAACTCGGATTAGATATGTGTACAGGTGGATCCGATCTTGATCCGAGCTAGTTATTAAAATATTATATATTACATATAGGTTATATAGTATTTTTTTGTTATATATTATTTTATATTCTTTTATATATATAAAATAATTTTTTGGATCCAATATGGTGTGGATTCGAATCTAGATCCCTATGTATACTTTTTAGATCCAAGTCTAAATCCGAATATAATGAATCCAATCAGGTCCAGATCCCATGTAAGCAGAGGGGTATTGCAGTCCGCTTTAGCAGAACATGGGCCGTTTCGGTTTTGGATAGTCGGGTTAAAGTTTAAAGGCTAACATGGAGTCTTTTCTAAATGATTGCCAAATGCATACATATATGTGTCATCTATAATATAGAATACTTCCTACATGCTTTGTCCACAATGTAAGTATATAATGAATTGACATGAATTACTTGACGTCCCACCCCTCATATAAAACCTTTTTTTTTTTTTCCTTTAATAGGTTGTTGAGGTAGGGGATGCTAGAGAGCTAAGCAAAAGGATAGTAGAAATCTAATATATCCAGACTTAAAATCTTGAAAATGGAAGGTCTACATAATATATTAAAATATACAGTGTTTTTAAGACTTAAAATCATTTTTTGCGCATGTATACATCTCGAGGTTGAAGGAATCAATTTGATGGTTCTCTAATTTTAAAACATCTTCAGGTAGATTTTGGAGGTGCATATTACTCTTACAGTAATATACACTGTGTGTAGAAATTTATTACAAAGCCTACAAGAGATGATGAACTATTTAACATTTTATTTGTTTCTTTTTATTTAATTTCAAAAAATCCAATAAAAGATGTTAATCACGAGTTATATCGCTTATTACTATCTACCCTTGGAAATAAATGGATAATGATATAACTTTGCAACTGGCTTAACCAGCAGCCACAACCAAAGGATGTGCAGTTTACAATGAAAATGAAAAAATAAATACCAAGACATGAACTAGACCAAGCAATGTACAGTAATTGGTTTGAACAACCCCTAGAAATAATTCACACAACTAGACCAAGCAATCTCCACTAATTTGTTAGAACCAATAGGCAGACTGATGAATATATAGGAAGACATGTATCTTTGCACAAACCAAATGAACATGGCCTACTTTACTACTCATCAAAACTAATTGAATCCATACCAGTAAAAAGACACGTGAGCCTCACTCTTAAATAAACTAAATAACAGGGGACACACCAGGGCCAAATTGATTTCTCCTACAAACAATAGGGGCGGCTCTCCAGCCCTCCCTCCCACCTCTCATCTCGACGCTTCACCGTCCATCAACCGGACCATTACATATTACATGCTTTCACATACCACTGAAGGTGTCCTGTCAAATCAACCTCAGCATCCGTTTCTCTGGCTTCAGCCACCATGGGTTTCTCTCACTTTGTCTTCCGGTCAAAAAGCGGAGCATCCTGAACAACCGGTTCCACAAGCTTCTCATAGTCTATCTCATTAGACCTGAACTTAAACTTGAAACCATTCTGGACCCATGACCGAATGCACATGACGGCCTGAACACTATCATGCGATAAAGAGGTCCTCTGCTTCTCGACCGCATCCCCTGCAGCCGAGAACACCAAGTCAGGTGGAACAGCAGTCGACTGAACTGCCAGGTAATCACGGGCCATGGCCGAGAGCTTTGGGAACCGAGCACTATTCCCCCTCCACCAATCCAAAACATCGGTGTTCGAAAGTGGAGCCGGCGGCTCCGACAAATATTGGGTGAGCTCATCGGTGGCATTGTTCATGCTTACTCGACGTCTCTTGCGTGCAATCTCCTCAGCAAATGACACGTTCTGGACCCCTCCGTCCCTGTCTTGAGGGTTAGTGTACCCATTTGGGATTGAAGAGAAATGACCGGACGCATAGTTCATCATGAAATGATTTCTTGCCGCCTCTTGATTGAGGTCAGTGTTGAGGTCAACAGGGACAAATTCTTTCTTGATTCGGGGGTCAAGTATGGCAGAGATGAAGGTGTATAGGTTGTAGACTTGGTTGCTGTATATCAAGGCCTTGTTGGCCATGTCGACGGCCGCGCCCTTCAGCCAATCCGGATCATAGCGGGACTCTCGACATGACTTGATCATCTCCATTATGTGGTCCATGAAAAAGAAGACGAGCCCAATGGTTGGGAGCTCGCTCCCACAAAGGTTGTTGGTGGTCTTGAAGAAGGAGTCGAGGTACCTTCGCGTCTTCTCCACTGCATTCTTCTCCATGGTCGTCATCCTGTTACGCCCCAACATCTTCTCATGCTTCATGATTACTGCATCCATTGCCGTATTGGCCTGCAATACATGGTTCTCAAGATAACAGAAAATATTCTCTCTCCCTCCCTCTCTCTCTCTCTCTCTCTCTCTCTCTCATCAGATGGTCATGACCCCAATGGACTACAGTTTTCCATAAGCCATTGTATTACAGCATAGATCATCAACTTTGAGAGTTTTATTTTGTTTTTTGTGCTGTACTGGTTAACCCCAATCTCCATTCATCATCTACTACTAAAATTAAAGATGAAAAACTAAGCATACGGTAGCCCAAGTAATAGAGACACATACCTTGGTGGCAACATCAAGCATGGTGTAATGGCCACTTGGCCGTGTGGAGACATCAAGCGGAAAATTCCATGATCCTTCCTGGCATGCAGAGGCCATCTCCCTGAAATCTTGAGCAATCTCAACAGATGTGTTCATCTCAAGAACACATTCCCGAATCTTTGCAATGGCTGGCTTCACATACCTAAGTCCATCCTCCATGATCAGATTCAAAGTTTGAGCAGCACACTGGATATATGTGAAAGGCTCCTTCATACCATCAAGGTAATCCTTGAGCATTCGGCATGCGATGATAACATTCTGGTTGTTATCATGGGTGCAAGCCAGGACCCTGCCGCTAATATTATAGGATTCTAGGACCTTCAACATGGAGTGATATATCTCAGTACCACCGTGAGGGTAGGGTATATGAGTAATGTCAAGGAGAACCTTTCGGAGAGACCAGTTCTCATCAATCCAATGACCGGTGATGCTCATGTAGGGAACTTGCTCATAATTAGTCCAATAGTCCAATGTGATCGAGACCTTACAATTGACATGGTCTAGAGCAGCCTTAACATCCTCTCGCATGCTTCTGAAGACCTCAAGAAGAACAGAGTGTGCCCTTGCCTTGGACCAGAACCGTGTAGAGGAATTGATGAACTTGAAGGAGTCTGCGAGGCCTTCATCCTCAAAGGTGGAGAAAGGAAGTGGACCATTGATAACCCACTTGAGAAGCAACCAGCTCAAATGGTCATTATCTACAGAGTTAGTAGATTTCACATTAGGCTGAGAAGGCTTCTTATTGAAAGGTATGGCCTGAGGAGCCTGTGGGACAAAATCACCCTGCCGATCATATCCAGGATGACGATGACTGAGATGCCTTCCCAAATTGCCTTCACAGAGTTCAAACGAAAAGCCATCAGTCAAGCAGGGCTCCATAAATTTTTTTCTCAAGAATCCAAAGGGAAAGGCTTAAGCTCAAGTATATGTTTTATTAAAATATAATATCCTTAATTTCACAGAAGGTGGACAAAAAAACTCAATTTCTGAAAGTTCACATATTCTCAAGTTATCATAAAGCTTTCTAGAGACACCGTAAAATGCAAAAGCTAAAACATGAGAAAGCAATGGGATATTTGAATCAGTGCCCATCATACCCATTCCTCAAACAACTACTTGATGATTATTACAATGATCTCTTTTATGAAAACTGAAGGAAACTAGCTCCAAAATGGACCCCATAACAATAATGTTTCCTCAAGGTGCAGAGGCATGGATCTGAAACATCTAACAATTATTGAAGGGCTCGATAAGTTTCCAGAATCAGCAAATCTCACAAAAAAGAAACATGTCAGTTATTTCAAATGAATTTAAGGGCTTGTGGGATTTCATAAAAGATGAAAAGGATTCATTGTTCCACGTGCTTTAAATTCAAAATTACAGGATCTCCAACTCCCCACCTGAGAACGAAATTGGTAACAAGCAACACGGTTCAACAACTTCATCGAGAAAAAGTGCCAATAGAATAATTACATGAGATATGCTGTTTGAAGAAAACAATACCGACCAGTGGCAGTAGCAATAGAATAATTTTGCTTGCAGAATTTGCATCTTCGACTCTTTCCATCTGGTGCTGTCTCAAAGAACTTGAGATAAAATGACGTCATCGATTTCTTTTTGGGTTTGCCAGCAGGACCAACATTGCCCTTTTCAGAAGAGCCCAACCCAATATCAATTGCGTCAATGCTTGGTAAGAGTGCTATATCCATCATTGGTTTCGCATCCATCTCTGCTGAAAGTATGTAAGTCAACCATATTTCATGTACTATCAAGTTTCTAAAATAAGCAGCAAAATGATTAATTGTTTATATGTGCCAAAAATACAAATTCCTATCAATGTCCTCCCACATAGCAATAAAGAAAACTGAGGGGACAACAATGCAAGAAACACTTCATGATGCTATTTGTTTCCATGCCATGCATATGAAGGATGCAAGGATCAATCTCAAAAGCATTTTGAACTCATAAAAAAGAATCAAGCCGCAGTAAGATTATCTATTAGCCTAATAAATACATTTCCAAATGTAAATTATAGAAACATAATGTAAAGCTTGTAGCAGTTGCAGCATTTGAGAATTCCGCCACAGAACTAGGCTAAGCTATCAATTTGTAACTGAGATAAGGTGGACTGAGCGTGCACGTGTGGCACCAACATTTTTTACAGAAAAAGAGAAAAAAGAAAAAGAAATAGCTGCTAGGGAAAAACAAATTTCTCTAAAAGTTGAATACAATCATTCTAAACCACACAAAATTTGTATTTTTAGAGTCATGAATATTGGATCATTTCAGATAAACCAATTTAGACCCATGCATATCCTCACACGTGTGAAGTTGAAGGAAAACTTAAATATTCAATCAATATTCTCTTAGATTGTCTCAACTTCTTAAATCTTTTCAAACTTTTATCGCAACAACATCCAGGGAGGCAGGGATGTAGGATTTCAATATTGAACTTACTCAGTGATCTTCTCTTATTTTTAGGAATTAGGACTATAAGATGAACTCTTCGTAGTTTCTAATGTACTAACATAAAATTTTTTCTTATTCTAAAAACGAGAGTAAGAACTTGCCGTAGTTAATATTTATAAAGCACTAAAAGTTATTGCTGCGGGTCTGCAATGCACTTTTTAGTTAGTATTAGGAATCAAAGGAGATGGTATTTTCCCCTTTCATCACATAAGGATAATTTTATCAATGGAGTTCTCTATTTCCTAAAAGAGGTTGGCACGTCTGGAGGAAATGCAATTCCCTTTTCCCTAGATATTTTGCAAGTGGCAATTCCTTCAAAGTTGGAATAGATTACTTATGCCACAACCCACAAGGTTTAGCTGCTCCAAATGCATTTTATCCTCCCAAGATGCCCATGCAGATTGCCACTACCTGCCAATAAAACTGTTTGGGCCCGATCTTTGCCACATATGTTTTTTTAATGAGACAATGGGAAAAAGAACCAGATCCACTTATAGCACGAACACAGGATGAACATCAAGAATGAACCCAGGACAATAGGATGCAAGCAGGCATAGGTAGCATGAACAACAGAATGGAAAGGGCACTAGTCACCTCTCGGCAAATATTCCACATATCTTCATCATCTAGAATATGAGCAACACTCCTTGGGGTCTTTGCCACATATGAGACAATGGGAAAAAAAACCAGCTCCACTTATAGCACGAACACAGAATGAACATCAAGAATGAACCCAGCACAATAGGATGCAAGCAGGCATAGGTAGCATGAACAACAGAATGGAAAGGGTACTAGTACACCACCTCTCGTAAAATATTCCACATATCTTCATCACCTAGAATATAAGTAATACTTCTAGGAAACACAAAGTACGACCCTTTTATGCAAGATTCAAAAGTCCAGATCTATTTTAAACATCACAACTACCAATTTCATGACACAATATATACCAGTTAAATGGATTATACAGGAATTTTTATTTCAGGATTCAGATAAACAATCAATGTCTAGAGATGATTAAAGAAATGAAGTTGATTAGCAAGCATAATACCATTGATTCTTTTTAAAGAACTATTCGATTTGCCATCCTTCGGCTTTCCAAATCCATCGCTAATGCTTCCAGCCTAACAATAGAAAACAGTTCATTAGTAAACCAAGTAAATCAGATGATTTACATAACAAAAAATTTCACCAAATAAATTGCATGGCTCTTCATGGCCCCCAGGGCCAGTCACAAATGATTTGATTATACCTACAGTTTCCCTTAGGTCATAGTGCTCGACATGTGATTTGAAAGAGGCTATGACAAGACAGAAATTGTAACATAAGTAAAAAAAGCATCTGATTTATTAAATGGACCAAAAATAGAAAGTGCAGGAAGCAGAGAATGCAAGGCTTAGAAAGTTGCTGCTTACAGGTCTTAGGCAGATAAAGGTGAACGATTAAGAGATTACATTTCATATCAAGAACGAATAGAGTATTATAATCTTTTAATTAATATAGAATATAATTTTATATAATTTTTGATATTTTAATTTAATAGCGTTCACATCTTTCAGACTTCTAATTTTTTTAAAAAAAAAAAAATGAAGTCATCCCCAAATAGTGTGAATTGCTTCTCTCACCAAGACAAAACATACCATGCTCCAAAGCAACTTTCGGGATGATGATAAAAATTCCATACCAACATCATATACTAGAGTCATAACTTTTAGAAGGGTAAACAGGCACATCATACATATCAAACATTAGGTGCATTAAAGGTACTACGACTGTGGAAACATTATAAAGACTAGGTGAAATCCAATCGCAAAGAAATAGAGAAACACGTGATTTGTTGCTCCAACATACATTGAAGACTAGGAATTTAAAAGACATGAAAAAATTGGGAGGAACACAAGAGGAACTTAAAAAATTGTAGGAGAAATGTAAGAAGCACGCAAGAAAATGGGAAAAATATGGGAGTGAGCCTCAGGGCTAAAATCAGGAAAATTCACAGAAACACACTTCTGATTTAGATAGCATGAGAATGCTAATTTCTTAAATGCACTTAAGAGAAAAATGTTTTTCCAACTAAAATCAAGTTGTGCTACATATGCAACTACAGTTGTCCATTCAGCTTTACACATGCTCGACCAGTAGACTAACACAACTTTAAAGTGAATTTTCCCTAAAACCTACAAACATTCTTTTGAAGAACATTATATGTTGTCCTAGATATATGAATATCTCGAGTGTATTAAGTTTCGTGAATCTCAACATCATTTCCATAGCTTAAGCAACAAGTGAGAAATTAAATAAAGGCAATTAATCATGAGTTAACTAGAGAATCTCAAAAGACAAAAAAAAAAAAAAGAAGAAACAAGAAGTTGCCAACCAATCCTATCAGTTAAGGGAGACGGTACAAAAATTCATTGCAGAGTTCAGGCTCATTGATATCACCGGGATGCAAGCCGCTACTACACAAGCAATCATCCTCAATTTGATGTCAAAGTATTTCTCTACAAATGGGACCTACAATTTTGCATTTCATAAGAGACTGAGACTACACTAAGAATCTTCAATTGATTAGTCCCCTAATCCACTCAGATTAGCCTATGTTGACTTCATTAGCTTCTTCTTCAGCAAACAAAAACTGCATCTACTTATTTTTAACTAAGAACTTCACAATTCATCTCTTAGCAAAAGTTTATACAAGTGCCTGGGCTTACATTAATATGATTCCAACCCAAGACATAGCAGGTGCATGTAATTCTGAGCAATACAAAAACCCGCCACTTTTTCGTCATTTATTTTTAGACTTTTAGTGAATAGGCCTTACTCAGTTCAGGCCTCAGTAAGATACAATATAATGAATACTATACCACAATGATTGCAGCTGTAGAAATGGTCACCGTCTGCATAAGATCATGCATTCACCAACAGCTTGGCTATGACTATCATAGCATATTTGCTCTATTTTTGGAGGGGTGGTGAAGTACTAAGCTTAAGAGCAGCCAAGGAGTACTTAGCTACAAGCAGCAATTCGAACAAAAACTAGAAGAAAAACAATCCATTTCATGGCACTTGGAGAATTCAAGCTATAGCTCGAAGCATTGAAATTAGAAAAGAGCTAATTTTAGAGAAATATGGCCCCAATTTTCTTAGAGACTTGAAGCAATGGAGGAGAAACAGAGGTAAATTAAGCAGCCAATGAATACTGATTTTGTACACTGCTAAAACAGAGAATTCAAGATTAATTTCCAGTGCGATCAGGCCAGTAATCCGACACGAGTGAGACTGGTGTAATTTGTAAAGCATTAGCAGAGTCTTAACAAATGAATGAATTCAAAAAATGATGACAAAAATGGAAATAAACTCAAATGAATTCAGAGCGTAAAGGAGCAGGAAAGATCTCAAAACATCCTCTGCAACACCTGATCACAACTCAATTAGCTCATATATCACCAGAGACATTAAGGGAAAGAAATAGAATAGGCCCATTGTGATCCTTATTGGTCTTTGAGGGAAAAAGCGGCACTTCTCACCTCAAAGAGCATGGCCTCTGCTGTACCCTGAAAATCCAGGGTTTCAGAAATTAGGGGTTTTCAGCAACAAAAGCCGCCATTGACAGGGAAAAACCAGAGAGACGATGAAAGAGAAAGAGAGTGAAGGCGGAGGAGGGGGGAGAGAGAGAGAGAGAGCAGTGAAGCTGAGAAACCGTTGGTTTCGGAGCTGCAGAGGTGTCGCTTTTCGGACAGAGCCGCCAGCCGCAGGAGAAAGAGAGAGAAGCCGAGCTAAAAAGAGGAGAGAGAAGCCGAGCCAAAATAGGAGAGAGAGAGAGAGAGAGAGA